TTATGAATTATTTATTTTTAAAAAAATTTGAAATTTATTTAACAAAAATAAACACAAAAAAATATTTTTGAATTTAAAAAAATAATTTTTAATCTAAATAAAAATCATTTGAAAATTATGCTTTTTTTCTTGCTTTTTTTTCAATTTTTTACCAAATTAATTTTTAATATTTTTGAAATTTCATGAGAAAACTCATTTCGAAAATCAAATCAAACACTGTGATGAATGTAATTTAACCTATAAATAATGATCAGTGTCTATTCACTTGCTTATGTGTAAGAGTGCAATTTGCACGGACTCAACCCGAGCAATCTGAGTCTAGGCCAACCTTTTTTAGGGTTCAGACAAATTTAATTTGATGTGGGCTTGGACAAAAATTCAAAAACTCAAATTAAGTTTGGGTGAGCTTGGATAAAGATACTGAACAATCCAAAACTTGAATTATATATATAAATAGATAAAAAAAAATATTAAACATATATGCAAATTATTAATCATTGGATGATATTAAAATAATTTAGATTATTAGATCATATTAAATATATATTACATATATACAAGTAACACAATACAAAACTTTTACCTTTTTTGTTTTTGACTTCAACATTGCAAAGACCACTATAGCTTTACATTGGTTTCTTCAATTATTGTCTCTCTCACGTTATATAAATTATTTGTTTTGATATTATTAATGATTTTATACCCAAAAAAAAATGTAAATATAGTCTAATTTTAACAAATTAATTAACTTAGTTGCACACAAAATAAATAAATAAATAAATAAAAATTCAAACTTATATGCAATAAGGGCCTAACTCGGGCTAGGTTTGAGCAAACAATCGCGGGTTATAATTTAAGCCTTCGTTTGGGAAGTGGGTTGGCTTTTTGGCTATTTTAGCTTGGGCTAAAAAGCCTGGTTTGGAAAGAACTTTTTGGCTTTTTGACTTTTTGGTGATGTGTCTTACTATTAAATTACCAAACTGCCCCTTATGTTCAACTTGTACCTGTGGCAATAAAAGTGGTCCTCCACGTCAGCCTCCGTGTAGGACCGAATTTGGATAAATTTTTTTTTAATTTTAAATAATGTTACTATTAAATAATGTTAATGTTGGATAATTTAAATAATGTTCAATTTAAATAATTTAAAATATTAATATTTTTAATGTTTTATTTTAATTTTATTTTAAATTTAAATTTAATTTTATTTTAAATATTTAAATAATGTAAATAATCTAAAAAATTTACATTGGTATAAATTTAAAATAAATATTCAAAAAATTTAAATCGTAAAAATTAAAATAATTTAAATATTCAAAAAATTTAAATAATTTAAAATGTTAATATTTTCAATTTGAAAACAACTCTACACTCAAATCGTAACCAA